TAAAAGCAATTAAAATTTAAACTTTACTTTATTCCATGTTACATTTTTTATTTTAATTATCACAGCAAAAATCTCCAGTTAAAATCAAAGTTAGAGCAAAAACGGGGGGGGGGTTGTAACTGTCTTACATAAATGTAGGAGGGGGTTTGTAGTTTGTTTATTTTTGCTTATAAAGGCTGGAGGGGAAGTCCGAAATGACCAAAAACATGCTAACGCAATATTTGAATGTCCCCTAAGTTAACTATTAACATTGTTCCTTCGAATTATATTTTTATTACTAAACTAGGTTCTGGGACAGTTTTTAAGTGTCAATGGACCTATAAAAAACTGGTAGACAAAAGAAACTGAGGCTGTCTGAATCTATGAATCAGTGTTTACATTAACCACGGCAAGAATAAAGTCATTTGCATTTTGTAAAGCTTAGTGTATTTACGTAGAATTTAAGGGTGCAACTTTCTTTCATATAATACTACGCAAACTATAACAGCCACCTGTGTGTGGGAGAATTACAGGAAAGCTGAAAATTCTGCCGGAAATTGCCTTGAGTAAATTTCGCTCTATTTTGCTTTTCGTTTCTACCATTAATACTTTAAAATAAGAAACAAAAAGTAATTAATTTTATAACAAAACTTTTTTTTAAAGGCGAGATGGTCTGTAGTAGACCTGAAAATTACCATTCGCCACGTGGCGAGTCAGAAAAAAATGTGGCGACTTAAATTAAATAAAACGGTCACTCTTTGACATCCTTTCTTTTTTCTTTCTTTTTTTCAATATATCCACTGACTGAGCCGCGTTGGCTCAGAGTATTCGCCTTCTAATGAGGTGAACCGTGTTCGATTCAAATCGGGTTTCTGGTCGGTACGAATTTCACACCCTGCTTGCACCAGCCACAGTGCTGATGTGAGATATCCTCTGTGGTAGACGGATCATGGGTTAAAATCTCATTGCCACCAGGCTAACCGCGTGAGGTTCTCGTGGTCTTCCACTCCATGTAACGCAAATGTGGTTAGTTCAATTAAAAAGTCCTCCACGAAGGCAAATTCCTCCCAATACTTGATCCATGAGTTCCTTTGTCTTCTGGATTGGGTTCAAAATTACAAGGCTAATTTCAAGGTCACGTAGTTGAACATTAGTAGTCGTAAGCCCAAAAATTGGGTCGGCTGTTCAGAGACGGTTTTAAAAAATAATATATATCCACTCACTCTTTTCAAAATTTTGATCCTTCAGAATCCATCAATTAGTGATGGAAAGATTCATGTGGAAGGAGAGTTCTTTAACAATTTACATTTTTCAAAGCTAAAATGTATACACTAAATATATTTCACCTCCCGAAACACTTTTAAAAAATTTTTTTTAAGTCATAAAACAAACTGTCACATATTTATATTATTTTTTTAGTTGAATTATTTTTTATAATTGTAGATTATTTCTAATGTGATTTTTTTTTTTTTTTGAATATACAATTTTATTCAAGCAAAAAAGAAAAAAAAGTTTGCGTATTAAGTGAAAAGGACCTAATTTCACTTACTTGCATTTTTTTTCTCCCATTAGTATTTCAAAATAGCGAAGAAGAAATACCATATATATTACAAAACTTTTTTTTAAATGCTCTATGCTTTGTCCTTTTTGCTCAACCACTATAATTCCCCCATTTGTTTTAATAATATTAATTATCACCATCAGTATTTCCAAATGGGAAAAAAATAAAACAATTTTAGCATACCTATTTTTGGAATACGAAATGTTTTTTTTTTTTCCTCCACCACCATCATAAAAACAAAAAGGAATTAATTTCACTACTTAGCTTTTTGTTCAAACCATCAATATTTCAAAATGAGAAATGAAAAATAACAATTTTATTACCAAACTTTTTTTTAAATGCGAAATGCTCTGTCGTTTTTGTTCAACCACAATTTTTCTCCCATTTGTTTTTATAATATTAATTATAAATACAAATAAGAGTAAATCTCTCGCGACTTTGCTTTTTGTTTCTACCATTAATATTTTAAAAAGATAAAGAACAATAAACACCAGTTTTATTATAAAACTTTTTTTAAAATTTAAAATGCTGTGCCGTTTTTGCTCAATACATAATACATGTACACAATATTAAATATAAAAATAAATGAAAGTAAATTTCCTTACTCTGCATTTTGTTTCTAACATTAGTACTTTAAAATTGATTAAAAAAATGACACCAATTTTATTACGGAGCATTTTTACCCCAACCCATCCCTCTTCCAATTGTTTTTTAGTTAATTAGTATTTAAAACAACGTTTATTAAATTTGTAAAAAGCTAACGCTTGTGGGGGGGCAAGGAGCTGTCCTTGCATCAGAAAGGTTCTGGGTTCGAATCCCGGGCTAGGCATGGATGTTTCTTTCTCTCTATCTGTGTTCTATGTCCTTTCTGCTTTGTGTGTGAATGTGACCCGCCCTATAAACGGGTTGTGGTAGTGCGACGTGGGCGACGCTGCTCCACTGCCGTGGCTTCACCACAGGTGCCCACTGGGTAACGAAAAGAGAGTTAGCAGTTCTGGCACTTTCTGTGGCCAATGGACAAAAGTTCCAAGTGCCCGCCAGAAAAAAAAAAAAAAAATGTAAAAAAATTCTTTAAAAGTGTAAACAAAGGATGCATCGGAAATTTCGTTATCGAAATTTATTTTTATGAAAATATGTAATGGGCATTATCATACCCATTTTGAATTCAAACTTCATTCCATAAATAAAATAATTTTGAAATTTTTAAATGTTTTTACTTGTAAATTCCGCATTGAAATATACTCCTTCCCTATATATGATAACAAAAGATAATTTTGTTTCTTTTTTACAACCAAATATTCTGGTGAATATGTAAATATTTCTACTAGTAACATATTTATAGCTTTTTAAAATGACAAGAAGTAAATGTGTCACAAAATATTCTGCTATGGGCGGTTACTCACATTTTACACTATTTCTTTCATAAGAAGTTTTTAGGAGTGAACCAATTGGAGTAGCTACACAAGTTACAAAATAATCCATTAAGTATTTTTTTGAGAAATTTAATAAATCTCAAAAGTATGTCTTCCATTATTGTTGGGTAGTGTATATTCAGAGAAGAGCGTTTCTGTGTCTAATTCCGTAACTTATTTAATTGTTAACACTAATTAGGAAATATGAGGTAAATCCTTTAAATCAAGATTGGTTTTTAGCATGCATCTTTAGAATAAAAGTTATTCAAAATGATTCTTATTTTTATAATTGCTTAAAAACTTTTCGGTATATTTTCATTAAAATTTAATCTTACATCGTAAAAAATTATTTATTTGAGAGTTCAAGAAAAAATATCTTTAAAACATATTAAAAATTCGATTTTTAATACTTTTAAATAAATTTCAGCATATTTATATATTAAGAACTATATACGTTCACACCAGAGATGAATATACAAAATAAAAAAATAACATATTAAAATATGAACCAAATTTCAAAGATAATTTTAATAACACGTTTTCAATCTGGCAGGGGGGGGGCAATAAAAATCATGGATATGAATGAAAATGCGTTGAATATGACTTTCTAAAGGCCCACTTGTAAATTTATTATTCAGTTTAGTAAAAATTCATTTTTAACATTTATTACCCTGAAAAAATCTTAAAAATCTTCAATTCTGCAATTTATTATTGATATATTCGAAGTAAAAATTAAATTTCACCTTTTTGGTCCTAAAAAAAGAATTCAAACTTTTCAAAAAGTGAATTTTTACTATATCCAATAATGAAGTTATGATTGAGTTTAAAAATTCGCATTAAAAACATTTTTATTCCTTTCCGTAATTTTTTTCCCCTTCAGCGGGATTAATAAAGAATTATTAAAATTATTTTACATAAATTTTCTACGAAGTTATGTATCTTTGCATTGTATATATTCAATCGGTGCGTGTGTACCGGTTCTTAAAATAGAAATATTTATTTAAAAAATACCTAAAAGTTTGATATATCTATAGTTTTAAATGTATATACATAATAATTAATATCGAATAATAATAATATCGAATTGTAATAATCATAATAGTCTAGTCCAGCGGTTCTCAATTTTTTTTAACAACGGAACTGTAAATGATCAATCTTCTTTCGGAGGAACCTCGATTTTATAAAATATATAAAGACAACTATAAACGTATTAACTAATTAAAGACTGCTTTGTTTTGAAAATATTCATTATGAGGAATTGAATGTTTTCACAGTTTTATCATTAACAATCTTCAATCGGGGTTTATGTCCGACAAATGAATTCACAGTCCTGGAGTTTAAGGTAGCCAAATACTGAATTATGTATATGCATGATTATGTATTATTACTAGTATTGATGCATATACATAAGCTGAAAATATATGAGTTAAGTCGAATTATGATTTTTGTTGAAGTAAAAATAAAAAACCTGCCACAAAGAACTACTTAAAATGACTGCTGCGTTGAAAATGGTTATTAGGGAACATATTTCTTTATTAACTAATTTAATTATTTTATTTTGATTTTAAAAGCGCGATGCGAAATGCTAATGCAATTTTTTATAAATGCATGTCCTTTCTTATAATCAATATAATGTTACCGATGTTTGAAAAAAATGCGATTTCTTTTTTTGCTTTAAATAACTTTGTAAAGACAACCGAAGTATTAAGTGAATAATAAAGTATTGATTGAATACAAATATAATGACAAGTTTTTTTTTTTATTTTTAAGAAAAGGGTCCTAACTATCGGAACCCCAATAACTCTTCCACGGAACCCTATTTGGGAACCTCTGGTCTAGTCAATAATCATAATAAGAATTTTTAGGCCTACATAATGATGATCTACATAATAATAATAATGATCTAAACGTCTAATATAAATCTTTAATATATTAAACAAAATTATTTTTTTTGTAACTATAAGAATTAAAATAAATTTCGAATTTTTTAATAACTTTCCGTGAGTTCATCAAACTTGTTGCTTAGCTGATCACCATATTGATCGCTTGTTGGAAAACCGTTATTACAGCATTCCGACGATGGGTGATATTACTTTCCCTGCATAGCAACCACCTTCGTCGTCTGGTGTTGCGTGAATCCATTGGTTGCACGTGACACGTGACGTAACCGGTGAAAAAGGGGCAGAGCCGTCACTCGAGTTCGTTTCACTGTCTGTCATTTGGAGTTGTGGAGATTTCATTACAGTGAGTTGGGTGTTTTTTTCTGTATTTGTGTGGAGAAGGAAAAAAAAGGAAACATGGCAAGCGCTGTTGATAAAGACGGTGTTAGGGATGCTTACCAAGATGTGAGAGATGATACATCGGACACAAATTGGTGAGTTGTCAAATAAGAAATTGTATTTAAAACGAGACTTTTATAATATTGTGATTTGTTTCTTTGTTTTAAAAAAGTGAAGGTTTGCAATTGAATCAAGTTTAAAGAATCGTAATGATTTTATAAGTATTTGTGTTTTATGAATGTAAAGTGTGAGAAATGAAATTTGTATTTCTACATTTATGTTTAATTGTATCATTACTTTCCTTTAAATTTTTATGATTAATTTAATTCCAGCACTTTCACCAGAATGGAGAAACAATGTCTGGATTTAAAATTTTTTAACCAACCTGCGCGCTAAGCTTAAATTTGAAGCATTGTTTGAATCAAATTTACTTTAAAATCCACAGTTAAAAGCTTCGAAAAAATCATAAAAAAATGTTTAACATATTTAATTACTTTAAAAGTTAATAAAATTAATTTTATTGTCCGACACATTAATTTTTTTAAAATTATTAATTATTTTTAGAATTCTACAAGATTTGCTATGCAGTGCTTTATTATCGAAATAAATTTTTCGTTTAAATAATATATCTAAACTTGTGACAGCATTGCATCAAATTATTTAATACTATTAAGCTTTCTAAACTTAGTCATTATTAAAAGGAAATTACATCAAATTAATTGAAAAGCATTTTCATCGTATTGTTCGTTTTAAATTATCTATGCATAAAACTATAATATTTCGGTGTTTTTCTGAAATTAGATTTTATTTTAATCTAAAAAAACAATTTTTAAAAATGGCTTTTAGAAAATACTAACTAGTTTAATAAATGTATAGAAGCTAATGGCATATTTTAATGACTACTGTAATCTCTTCCCATATTTATATAGTAGTTTAATTAAAAAAATTTCTAGTTTTAAGTAAGTAAAGGATTAATATTTAAAAAATGTCTTTAAAAAATTTTTATTTGAAAGCTGATCTTCGCACTTGTTTTCCCTGCATGTTGGTTATTATACACAATTTTTTAAAATATTATAATAAGTGCTATTTGCTTAGTTTCTAGAAATAATTATATTAAGGTACTTTTCCGTTTGGCCGGCTCAAGTAATTTCGGCTATTTTATTTATTTATTTAAAACAAAATATTTTAAACTAAAATTGGTCTCATATATTAAAACTCTGAGGAAGATCGATCTACAACAGATTAATTAATAATTGCTAAGTCTTGGCAACTTTTGAGCAGCAACTCACAAGAATTTGAGAGAAAAAATTAAAGGGCACTAACTCGTATCCATCTCAGGACAAACCTCTACGTGTTTTTTTTTTTTTAAATATATATTCTAAATGTTTTGTTTTTTACGTTTGAAATCCATTTGGCACCTTGGCGATTGTAGTAGGCGCGACAGATCACGATACGGAAATACCACAAATTCGGGAAATTTTAAATTAAAAAAAAAAGCTTCCACGTTTCAGGATATTGCTAAAAAAAATTATATTCGGAAAAGTAATAATAATTTGTTAAAGACAGAGTTGAAAAAAATATTAACTCCTAAAAATTTTATGAGCCAATCAAGAGTTAAAACACTATGTGGCACTAGTTGGAAGAAAAAAAAACTGTTTGCTTTGACTTTAACTATAAGTGACGCAACAAGTTTCTGTCTCATTGATCGTCATCACTTAGTATGAAAACGTTTTTGCAGGATGTGACTGATGTTTATCAGTGCATTACCTCGCTTTGGTGAGAAAAGAAATTCATAAGTTCTACGCCAAAGTTTAAAATTCAGTGAATGTGATTTTCATCCCAAATATACACAGACGGGTAACCGCGCGAGTGGGTGGATAAACAATTTAAGTTTCGCAATGAGGAAATTTCGGTGCTTTTTTTAAAAATTAGATTGTTTTAACTGAACTAATATTTTTGTAGATTCAGATTTGAGTGTTTTCTTAACCTGATTTTTTTTTTTTAAAGTTAAATAAGTGTAAGCATAAAGAGAAAAATTATGTTTTTGTGCTGAATGAAAAAATCTAGTAAAAATACTAGAAACTTGCATGTGTTTTGATATTGTAAAAAAATACCATTATTGGCCTTTTGCCATTGTTTACTCCACCTGATTTTTTTTTTTTAAATATTATTAACTTTTTGCTGCTTTGTCAGAATTGGTTGCTGAAGGCTGCAAAGAGTTAAATAACTGTGTTTGTAGAGGAAAGTTGAAGTTGTCGGTATGTGCGACGTAAAAAAAAAAAAAAAAACAGTGGTCCAGCTAAAAATATTTTTGACAATTATTTGGATACTGTAAGCTAGCCTTTCCTAAATGGTATTCCGTGGAAACTTAACTAGGGTTCCATGAGTTTAACTTTTTTTTAAAAATTTTTTACAAATTATGATTTTTGAAACCTGTAGCTATGTTTTCGTCATATCAATCATTTATTATCTATTTAATATTTTGATTAATTTCATGAAATTATTTAAATACAATGCCAATGAAAAAGGAAAAAAAATTACATATATTTATTTTCTTACAACAATATAAAGTAAATACTAAGATAAAAAGGAATTATGGAATATGCATTTAGAAATAATTGCATCATCAAAGTTTACAATTCAAAATGAAATAACTAAATTCAAGAAGGTAGAAATATTTTTTTCTGCTAAACATTGTCACAGTTTATAAGCTCTTTTTCATAAACCATAATTCAGCTTTTTTTATTCTATTTCAACTTATGCATACGACAAAACATTCTAAACTAGAAACCATTGCAGACCTGCAAATTCAACTATCTAACACAAAAACAAATTTTAAAATTATTTTTGATAAAAATAAATCTTTTTATAATTTGAAGCCTATTTTTCTTTTGTTTAGTATATTAACAGTTGCTTTTTAATGAATTTAAAAAAATTTGAGGATCATTGCTTAAAACCATTATCATAGAATAAATGAGATATAGGAAACCAATCAAGTATCATATATATATAGCGAGGTGAATCGATAACAAATCGGCTAAAGTGAATCACTTTATAAATCTGCAACTGACGGCCACAATCTGGGGAAAACTAAGATCTTAAGCTATGTGTCATTTTCATCGATTATTAGTTTTATCATTTTTAAAAGAATATTAATTCCTGAGAAAGCTTACCAAGACGTGCGATGTTTTTATACATATTCGCATAATACGTTTATAATTGAAGGGCAGAGTATATAAAATTTCTTAGTGGCTTAAATTCATTTACTTTAAATTTTATATGCATAGATAATATGAAACAGTACGGCTTCCCTTTAATTCTTGCCTGAAAACTTCAATTAAGGGAAATCCATAAGTCCCCAAAACACATTTGAACTGTTCGCGTTATAGCGTTCTAACTTTTGGCGTTTTACTGTCATATGACAGGTTTTTTATGGCAGGCCTCTCATTGAAGAGGCAAGCTGTAAGAAAGAAGCAAACATGTGGTACATTCGTATACTTTTGCAGTAGATGAGCAGAGGTGATGCACCCATGCTAATGCAAAAATATGGGAATCTGCCTTTCATATGCCTCTAACTTTATTACCTGTTAAATTCTGACGAGTGCACTTGGAACCTTCTTCAACTTCGAACATAACCAAAGAGTTTTATTAAGTTCTTTTGTATATCTCTGTGTATAAGTTGACTTACACACTGGTAATAAAGTCGGACATTCGGTAGGTGATTTGTCGATGCGAATATAAAAAATGAGTTATGAATAACTATTAGTTTACCCCTTCCAAAAACTTTTTTCCCTTAGAAACAGCACTTTAAATTACCATTGAAAAAAATTAAGAATAAGAAAAGTTAATTTATTCAAGAATATTTTAAAAATTATATAACACAATGAAAACTTTTAAAGCATGCCTTAAAGCTATATATTTTAAAATTCAGTAGTGTTAGTGTCTTCACACGAATCTCACTCTTCAGTGGATTCTACTTCGTCCTGATCTGTTCAGTTCCACAAAAAATAGTCCTCACCCCCATTCAATAAAAAATTTGAAACTCCAGGCATTTTGAAAGATTTTACAATAACATTTGGATCCATATTTTTATCACGCGTCTAATATTTGAAACATGACGTCGATTTAGAACAATAGTCGTGGTTGACTTTTACACCCGACATACAAGACATTTGCTATCTCGTAATCGAAAATAGATTGATTATACACCGGGATATACAGTACTTATAGATCTAAAAACTTTAGAAAATAAAATAAAACTGGGGTTAAATAAGACTAAAATAAGATGGTTCCCGTGAAAAATCCAAACTTTTTGAAAAATATCCCTTAGAATCACTTTTCTCTGAACTCTTTAATTCATTTAAATGAATATATCTAATTTATGCATCTTTGTTATGTTTATTTTCATTTTTAAAAGTGTGGTACGTAACTTTTCATTTGTTTTTGATACGATGGAGACAAATGTAAAATAAAAAGAGAAGAGTACAAAAGAGGAAAAAAAGATGTTTAAATGTCCGAAAATACTTATCATAAACTGCTTATTTAAAACTGTGAAATATGAGGAAGAGTAAACCTTTAAATAAACTCTAGTTTCTGCGTATGAATCATTTTCTGGAGTAACAGATGGCCTTAGACAAGAACCACATCAAATATTTGATATTTTTGTCTCCACCCCCTCAATTTCGTCGTTTTCACTTTTCACTGCATTTTTGTGGTATTTTAGGTAAGGAGTGTATCATTTTTTCTCCTATGACCTTTTTATTTATCATTAAAGATACTAAGGTCTTAAATATTTTTTTTTCTTCCGGTTAAAGCGTAACTTTTGTTACGGTTTGAATTTTTGCATGCATAATTTCTTATTAATTAAATAATAAAATCATAGTTATGGGATTGAACTAAGCACTCTTAAACCTAAAACTCAAACTAAGTACAGGCAATAAAGAGTGTTACGCAATTGCCGCACTTAGTATATATAGAGAGATGTCTAAACTGACATCACTTCACTTACCTGTCCGCTGGCAATCCATCAATGATCAATCAGTAAGATAGCAGCCAATAGGAATAAGTTTCTATTGGAATGGGAATATGTATCGTC